ATGGGAGAAGAGAGAGAAGAGGCAGCCGCCCTCTCTAGAAGCCTCCAAACCAGGTAGGACTTGAATCGCCCCTTACAAAAAACTCCAAGGAGCCCTAAAAAATTAGGGCGTCACTTCCTAAGTCAAAAATGAAGAGTCCAACAAAAACAAGATTCTTCCCCTTTCTCCAGATTTTCCTAATTTTGATGAGAAACCCTAGACCAGCTACAGGGCACACAGATCCATAAAAAAAATCCAAAAACTGGGCTTACCTGAGAGCTTCGATCAGCCTCTTAAATCACCATGCARTCGGCCGATCTAGGGCTGCATGAGAGAACTTCAAGAACCTTTGGCCCACTCTGATACCAAGTAGAAATCACTAATTTGCTGATTCAATCAAGTTTCTTGTGAAAGGAAAGAGGGGGAAGATGAAGATTTCAGCAGTAGAGAAGGAAAGAGAAGAAGAAAAGAGTAGGAGGTCAAGCAGGATTGTGAAAAATTAACCCTAGCCGCCTACCTCTCATTATATTTATATTTAACTTAAAGATGAGATATTACAAGGATGCCCTTAGTAGGGCGACTACTAAGAGCTGAACAGTCACAACTTAAAAAAACATAAACTAATGGGCCCAAGGCCCAACAACTTCCTAACTAAATAAAAACAAACCGGACCACTCAACAAACTCAAGAAAAGTACCACCACTTGACCAAGTTCATTTCTAAAGATGCCTCCAATACTAGAGGGTCCTGGACTCCCCCTACTGCTGCCATCAAAACTCAATTTTACAAATCCCTCAACCAGTGGAATCCAGAACAAACTATTTCTAGGTTTCACTATTGAAGGGCTAGCCACCTCCAGCCATCTTCTGAAGAGAACATCCACTGAGAAGTCTGAAAACAGCTCTAGGGATTATAACCAATGAACAACCCTGATGGTTATGCATTCTATCACAGCTTCCTTACTTCGTTCTCCTGAAAAATTCTTGCATTTCTCTCCTCCCAAATAGTCCAAGTTGCTGTCGCTCTAAGGCTTATCCACATGATTCTCCCCCTCATTTTTGGCTAGACAAAAGAATTGGAAGTATAGCGACTTGAGGAGGGATCCACCTGCAACCAAACAAAGCCAGAAACCAAACCCAAATACCAAAAGCAAAAGGGCAGGACGGAGGAGATTAGTAAGTGAAAGCAGGTTTCTCCATTTGCCCTGCAAAGGACACACCGATGTGGAGATAAGAAGGAGAAAGGTCTCCTTTTCATAGCAAGTCACAGGTATTAATATTCTCATGAAAAACCTCCCAATTAAAAGCTCCTACTCTCAGTGGAATTCGTTTAGCCCAAATTTCCTTAACTGGAAAGTGATGTGAAGGGGACAAGGGATTGGTCAAAGTCTTGAAAAATGAAGCACACGAGAAAGAAAAGTAAGAGGAACACTAAGGCAACCAAGTCCACATTTTAGCAAATTTCCCAGTAATAACAATATGCTACTAACTTAACAAAGACCCAACCACAAAAATAACAGTATAAGGAACACCCTACTGAAAACTTTAACATATCAAATACTTCAATGACACAAAAACAATTAAACGATGAATGGCCCTTAAACATGACAAAGACTCCCTCTTAATCAAAATTTGTAGCCTTTCAAGAATTCTATCAAACACATGCAACTAACAACTTGGACAATTCAGCAATATGCATCACTAAGGATCTTCAACGATAATAAATGTGCCCATGATCAGAGAACCACTCCTATCCTTTTAGTTTTTAGTTCTGAAGTCTCTCCAACCTACAACTGGACATTTGGACTCTTCTTTCTAGCACTCAAAACAAGATTGTGATAAAAGACTTTGTTTTAGAATATTTATCAAATGCCCCCAACAATCTCAGGGAATTTCCAGAATAATTATTCCTTGATCATCAAAAAGCTGAAATCTACCCTGGCACCAAAATAAAGAGAGAAGTAGGAGGTGCTCACTCAGTTCTTTATAGATCCATCAAAACTTGAATTGGTGGATCCAAAAACTTATAAGGTTAAAATAATCTAGAGAATCTAAAGAGACATATTGGATATAGACAGAAAGCATTAGACAAGAAAAAATCGTGTTCCTTGATTTTTCTTGATTTTTGGGAAGAAATCTCTAGAACTCTTTTCTAGGCATAAAAAAACTACTTGAATTTTTTTTTCCAAAATCCTTAAAAACCAGGTTATTCAAGAATGACACAACCAACCAAAAACAATTCAACAATGACAATCAATAGCGCAAAATTCCTACTTATGGTATTTGTAGTAAAATCACAATTTGTTATTTATAATAAAAAGCATATCTAATAAAATAACAAGAAGAAGCTGAGATTAAGAGAGCAAACTAACAAGTTCAATCCTACTTTTAACACCTAACTTGGTTTAAAATATTTCAATCCCCTTTTTTCCAATGACCCAGTAGTTGATTTGGTCACTTGGCACCTTCCAAATAGGGCGTGCGGGATCAAATATGCGGAACCGAAGGGTCTTTGTCGTATGGCCAGTGGTATGTGTAATATGCAATACCAAAAGAAAAAAAAAATCCCCTTTTCAAATTATGTCATAACCATTCTTTGAAAATTCTTAACAGTCATATGTTTTTATTTCTAAATGTAAATAAATACAACCGAGTAAATAGGAATAATCATTAACAAGTAAAATAAACTATAATATGAAAAGGATCTAGTTTTTTTCTTTTTGCAAAAAGAAAAAATGTAGATTTACAATGTTTGGATAATTGACATACTTATACTAAAGACTAGAAACACTTACTAGCTTAAAATAATTATTGAAACATCTTCAAAAGCCGAAAAAGATTAGTGGATTAACCAATTATGCTATAACTTCATTAGACACAAACTACAGTTTGAAAACAAATGGACAAGACCATAGGACCGACAAACTATGGGTAAAGTATCCACTAGGTAGATTCCATTCGTTTCATTAAGTAAATGAAAGAAAAGATACACTTACATTTTGCAGTATCAGTGAAACACCTAATTATTGCATAATTGTGAAAATTAAATAAAAACAATAAGAAAGTATCATGTGCTTAAATCTTATATTACACAAAAAAATGCTAAAAATACAAGTAAAACGCTGTCAAACATAAAATGGTGAACCAATTCACTACTGAAGCATAGTAGTGGGTAATAGGGCTGGCAATTTTTCAACCCAACCTGTTAACCCACCCACTAATTAATGGGTTGGGTTGTATCCATTTTGTCTTGGGTCATAGCGAGTTGGGCAACCCAATAAAAGGACATTTGATGGGTTGGGTGGGTTGGGACATGGTTATCCAGCGGGTAACCATTAATTTGTTTCTCTCTCTCAGGTATCCTATGCACTACTTTCCAATTCTTAACCGATACCCACTTTCTGAAACTAAGGAATGACCTTCAGTGGATTCCAATGGAATGCATTCCTGATTACAAAAATTGCAATGAATGATAGCTACAATGATACAACCTCTACAGAAACAATCCTTAGTCAAGCTTCTTTTCCAATATCACCCCTCTATAATTCAACCATTTGTGCCTATACTCGATTAGGTACCAAGGAAGAACTCTTATGATAAATTTCAAGTGTTTTGCAGAATTATCATGACTTCTGATTGGAAAATGTATTTATGAAAGAGTTCAAGAATTGGATTGGAATATGATTTGTATGTTGGGACTTCATTGATTGATGTACACGTAAAATGTGGTAAACAAGGCAATGCTCATAAACTGTTTGACAATATGCATGTGAAAAATGTTTTATCATGGAATGCTTTGATTGCAAGTTAAATGAAAATGGAGCAATGCAAATTGAGGATGTGTTGTTCGAAAGAATGCCAAAATGAAGGATTGCTTCTTGGACTACTAGCTATGATATCTGTGTGCACTTTCGTGAGCTCTGAGTTTGAGGAGATGTTAAGGGTGGATTCAGAGGTAAATCCCAATTGGTTCACTCTCATGACATGAATATCCTTCCAGCGTGTGCTAATTCATCTGCAATGGAGTATGGGAAAAAGATCGATAGTTATGCAAGTGAGATTGTTTTGGGCATAAAATTTTCTATCATGTTTATATTTTTCTATAATTTATACTATTTTACGCACTTCTGTTCTTTATTAATAACTTTTATTTTTTTTTTTTTTGCAATTCCTAGTCTTTAATGGTTTTCTATATTTTTCTGTAACTTATGTTATTTTTCTTCATTTTCTGTGTTTTTCAATAATTTTTGTTATATTTATTTTGCAATACTGTTTTTTCACATGTATAGAAAGGACAAAATGAAAGTTGCAAATTCTGTTTTTTTTTCAAATTTTTATGTAATTTCTATTAATTTTATGCATTTTGTGTTTTTGTTTAATTTCTATTTTATTTCCTGCAATTTCTATTATTTTTGTGTAATTTTCATTATTTTATCTAAATGGGTTGGGTTGGGTTCAGGTGGGTTTGGGACTTTGGGTTGAACCCAACCCATTTAATTCTATCTAATTGGGTCATTAATGGGTTGGTGGGTAAGATGGGTTGGGTTGAAACTCAACCCAAACCGAACCCAACCCAACCCGCCCAATTGCTACCTCTAGTGGGTAATAAGCATTAGCTTTTAAACAGTCTAAACCTATTTGTAGTTTATTGCATGGATGGAATTTATTCAGCTTGTAATTTCAACCATAGAGCAGATTGACAAAAAAAATTCACATCATCTGGGCAAGTAGAGACTTCCTTTTATCGGAAATAGGTAAGCTAACTATTTCATTAATGAAGATGGCAGAATATATAGTATGCCCTTTGTACAAAACGATTCTGTACAGAAAACAGAAATGAGCCCAAAACTCACTTTGAAAAATAATACAAAAAAGACTTTTTTTTATTTTGAGAAGATATAATAGAAATTTCATTAAAGAAAAAGGAAATAAATGAGGATGTACATAAAGATGAAAACAGGGATGTTCTGTCTCAGAAATCCCTGAAAATAGACCAATCAAGCAAATAACTTGGAGACTTACATGGATAACAAGAACAGGACAGCTGACATGCCGTATTTTGTCAATATTCTGAAAATAATGAGAAGAATTAATTATCTAAAAAAAGAAATAATGAGAAGAATTTAATCCATTCAAAACTAAGCATTTTATGCATGAACCACAATGAAAACAGAAAAAATACCTGGTTGAAACTTACTTTAAAAATGTCAAACCAAAATGTCATCTTGACAGGGTACAACACCCGTATGCCTGAAAGTATAGCACTGTGAAGAACAACAGCCCTCAGCCTCTGCAAACGTGCAGCCAAATGTAGTGTGGGTCCACTACCAACCGATTGTCCATACAGAATTATATCCTCCTGCTTAATTCCATAATCTCTCTTCAAACAAGTGTATACTGCCTCTATGTCAAAGTATGTGTTTTGCTCGGACGGCTATCATCATTATCAAGGAAACCACTTGTAAGGATCATCAACTGCTAAAAAGTTTGAATTTGATAAATAGATGGGATCAGGGAGAAATCTGTTCCCCTCTCCCATTCTCTTTTTGTTTCTGTTTCCCTTTCTGCTTGGTGGTATAAAGCTGTCTAGGAGAAGGTTCAGAGCTTATATTAAATTTTTACACCAAATGAACAGGAATAGCAAATAAGTGCCACACATGGGGCTGTGGCTTACCTTGCCGGAGGAGGCTCCATAACCCGAATAATCATAGCTGTAATAGGAAAAAAATAAGAAAAGTCAACATGAAGAAAAGCTTCTTACTTGCAGTGAGCGAGTGTTAAATACATTCTAAATCCCACAAAATAATATCCCCTCAGAATTTGTTATCCAATAGAAGAACCTATCATTTTCAAGATTTTGGAATGCTTGGAAGTTGGAACTACAATCTATCGCCATCTAAAGTCATCCTTGAGAAGCGTACCCACTGTTCCCAACATTATCAGGCAAAAATCATGACAATTAAATATAAAAGTCAACATGGGTATGAGCTTCAATCTGGTACAAATTCATACAAACAATACTTGAATTCTTAAATGGGTTTAAACCCATAAGACCTTAAGCAAAGAAATTGGCTTGGATATTAAGCAAATGTTGAAATTGACTTCAGACGCACCACTGCCATCACAATATCATTCTGGAAAGAACTATTACCTCCATTTCTTCACTAACAATGTTGTTGAGGCTAAAATTTCGGATAGAAATATAGCATACGTGTTATTTTGACATTTTGACACCATTCCCTTACCAAATTCTAGCAATGCAAGAAATTATTCGGACTTTTATTAAGCCCCCTCCCCCCAGAGTAGGCATGAAAAATCAAACCTCAACCAGGGTAAAAAAGAAAATTAAAATAAATTAATAAATATCGCAAATTAGCTAGCTATATGGATATTAATTCCCACTCCACTCTCAAACCTCAGACAAAATGACAATCATCCCAAGCCCAGAAATGCAAAAACAACCAGAGCAAAAGACAAAACCTATAAAACCAGCAAATCTTCGAAACAAAACAAGTAAAATGAGTAGTTAAATATGCAAACAAAGCTGATTAATACAACAAATCCGATCCCAACCACCAAGGAACAGAACAAACCAGAATAAGCAAAAAACATCACAGAAAAAACAAAAACAAACTCAGCAAAACCCGCATTACAAAAACATTAAAAATATATAAAAAAAAAGCATAAAACACATTAACTCAAAGCAAAAACAAGAAAGAAAAGGAATAAAAGAATAAGCGAAGTACCTCATAACATTGACACGCAGGTGTGCTCTAAGCTCAATGAAGAGTTCCTGCATCTGACCCAAATCAGCAGCGTTGCCATGAGAATACAAAAGCGTAAATCTTGCATGTGGGTGTCTCCAAAAGGTCGCGACGATCTTGTTTCCTCCCTTAGTATCTAGCAAATGTACATCCACGTTCTTATCAGCCGAGAGTCCAGACAACAGAAGCCTCCCATTTTCTTCTCTGCGCACATCATAGGTTGGTGGGTCTGGAGGAAAAAATGCGAATCTTGCAGCAACGCTGGAAGTTACATTGCCCATTAAAACAAACCCACCTCAAAACAACAGGCAGAAAACAGCAACGACTACTTCATTAACGATTTGAATGTCTCAAACTCTCTCTTCCTCCGTTTCTGTCTGTGTTTCTCTTTTTCTTCTCTCAGAGGCGAAGGCGATAACATTCCTGCAATTCTTATTCTTCTACACCCAATAAAAATTATTAAAGAAAATCGAAAAAAGTTGGCATTTTACTGCATTTAATGCAATCCAAGTGGCGTCAGATAAAATTAAATGTTGAGGGTGGCAGGAAATAGATCCGATCCATGGGGCTGAGCTGGAACTCCAGGATAAACAAAAACAAAATGCCCAGAAATTAAGAGAGAAAAAGAAAGTAAAAAAAAAAGGGGCTAAAAAGAATGGATCTCGGGCTGGGTGATGGACGGCTAAGATACGGTCAAAGGCTGCCGGAAATTTGATGAGAAATTCAGAACGAGGAGTCAGAGTCAGACATTCTTCGTTTGCTTTGCTCAGCCCATGGTCGACAAAGATGGCGGTCGGCGGTTGGTGGTTGATTAGCCCGCTAAGCCTTGGTGCTGCAGTTCTTATTTCTTAATAAATGCCACTCTATTTTCACCTTATTACCAAGATGCCACTGCTTCGGTGCTTCGTCCAAAATTACAATAATGCCCCATGCGAGTTCCCGCCTTTCCCGGCAAAAAAAAAAAAAAAAAATTAACAACGTGACAATTGGATTGGTCTGACTGACGCTGACAGGTTTAAAAACGAAATATAAGACCTGGCCCATTCTTTCGCAGGATACGGCCCATACAATTGCCAAAGCCCATTTTTCTTGGATTTGAACTAGTCATGATGTCATATTTCATACGCTTGGTTGTAATTAGAAATTACCATATTGTAGTAGAATAAGTTGCAACCTTGCCAAGCCCAACTGAGAACTAACTCCCAATTCTTGTATTGGGCCTTGGGCTCTCTCAACAGAACCATACCTGAAGATGGGCTAGCCTGGCCAGGCTGCCGAGTTCCAGCCCAACAATCTGAACCGCTTCCGTCAAAAGCTCTTGTCATCTTATGAGTTGTGAAAGTAGGTATTGGGCGTTTCATTTTTCCCTTTTGATTTAATGAGTGGAACGTGATGGACAAGATGATTAGGTTCACCCAATTGGGTGGATTACAAGTGTGGCTGCAGAGTTTGGACCCATCCAATTATGGGCCCTGACCCACAATTCGTGCCACACAATGAACGGGCTTCTTTCAACCTCATTATCATCAGCATTGAATGCTTTGACCTTGCTATTCAATCCATTTCACTTTTGTATGAAAATCCGCTGTTTGGAAGTACCAATTTTGTTTTTTTCTCTCTACGATATTTGTGGCCTTTTAAGAAGCTTGTTTAGCAGTTACAACTAGTGATTGAGCATGGCCGTGGGTGGCCTTTTTGTATGAACGGGACACTCCCAATTCTTTTATCTTTTATCACAAAAAAATAAAAATAACACTCCTAATTCCGGAAAAGATTATCATGTACTTATTATTATTATTATTATTTGCTGAAACGTTACCCTCAACATTTGTCGGTGCATCCAAACAGGCCCTGGTAAGCATCAGTAAATATTGTCACCAACTTCCGCGTTTGGTGAGTGGGTAGTGGGCCGTGGGGAGTTCGGATCTGCTCCTCACACAGCGCGCCTCACACCGATTTCAAAGAACATTTCAGCCGTGCATCTGGATCATTTTGTATTTGTAAATTTTTAATTCATGAGGAGATGCTCCAGATGCACGGCTAAAACATGCTGTGAGGTCGGTGTGAGGCTGGCTCTGTGAAGAACAGATCTGATCTCGGCAGTAGGCTAAATTTGCAATTGCATCAACTGGTCACCACAATTTTTGATGTGTGAAAAGAAAAACTTTTTTCGAATCCTTGTTAAAAACAAACACGTATTTAGTACGCATTTGGGAGGGCTTTCACACAGCAGGTTCCGGCACCCCAGAATTCTGTGAGTTCATGCTTGGTAAAAAATTGAAAAAGCCAGAAATCAACTCACATAAATCACAAAATTGACTTTTCTGGTGAAGCTGTTTTAGGTAACTTTTTGAAAGTGGTTCAGTCAATACAGCTCAATCAATGTGGAGACCTGGCAAATGGGCCATTAGTTTGGTAGATTTAACTACCATGTATTGCATTAGGTTATTTGGTCAAATCCATATTTCTATTTTTTACTTTTTTTTGGGTGTTTGGTTTCGTTTATGTTTATGGGTGGCTATTTATTTGTGCTTTTTTATTTTAAACGTGTCCTATTTTTGTTGTTTGATTGAGCTTCACTTTAAATGTTTTTTATTCTTCACCTCAGATTAATACCCATTAAAGTGTGATACATTAACATTTGATTTCAAGAAACACTGGGGCATTGGGGAAAACAAGAATTTGGCTCTCCAAATGCCCTATACACAAAAATCTAAGCGTTTATTTGATAAACTATAAAATCAAACAATTGTTTCATTTTGTTTCATATGCAATAAATGCCCACACCTATGTGACGCTGATGTGATGGCATTTTTTCAATAAACGCCAATGAACAACACACAAACTGCAATCGCACTAAATGTTTTAGCCATCTCACCCCCAAACAACCCACTAATTTCGGCATACAAGTTTTCCTCCACACCATATCTCTTCCCATCCCATGTTTCTCATTCCAGAAAAAAGTTCTACATAAGCATCTCTATCTTATCACATATACTATTCGATAATGAATGAATGAACCAACATAATATACGTAGGTAAAGCTGAAACCACACTATTAAGCAAGACTGTTCTTGCTTTCCATCCACTCAAGTGGGATTTAACTCTTTCCACCACCTCTTTGATACACACATTTCCAACAAAAGCTTTTTCTTCCTGCCAATCTGACCCACACCCATACTACGTGCCACCATTCTACAATGTCTAAAAGGAACATTTTTACTAAAAAAATAAATAAATATTTCTGACTTAATGAAATTTATATTCTATCCCGAACACCGTCCAAATTCTCTTAAAATTTTGTATACCACATAATATGAAAAGATCATCTGCAAATAACAAATGAAAGATCATTGAACAACTGCCATGATAGGACGTTCATCCCCAAAATAAATAAAAAGGGTGACAAGGGATCATCTAAGCCCCCGATTAGGAGTAAATCTCTTTGATTCCTCCCCATTAACTGGTTGAGTTTTACTCGTCATAGCAATCAAATACTTGTTTGAAAATAAAACTTCTACGCCTAACCAATTTCTCCATGTCAACACCAATCCTCCACTTCGTCCTTCTGCACCCACAATCTCCATCAACTTGAATCTCGTTCTCCTTAACACACAGTCACACCAATTGTTATTCATTCTAGTCTCCATCAAGAACATAACTTTGGGTTGATGTTGATGTGTGATCCATTGTAATCCTCATGACCTCAATACTAGCATTTTCTCCTTCATACCCGGAAGGTCCATGTTGATCACCATGAGTTGTGACCATATCATTTATTGCATTTGGCTTCCTAAAAGAAGACCTCTTCCTCTCTCTCCACCATCCAAAATAAAATGTTAACCCACTCAGAAAGAAAAACAAGTTGTAAGATGTTTATATGCATGGTCCACAATTAACTTAATATAATTTAATTTAGTACCAGAACCTCAAAGTTAAACTATGATTACAACAAAAGAGATTGCACCAAAACTTCTAATGAGGAGAAGGATTTGAAAATTACAGCAAAATGCATCACTCAGCTCATTAGACCATTCCAAAGTAAAGCCTTCTCTTTGGGTTTACCATTTTTTAGCAATTCCCGGAGAATTTCAATTCCCCTTAGTTTCTCTTGAAGCTTTATTGTTTGAGAGTACGTACGAAATTTGCTAATAAAAATGTTAATGGATGAAAAATGCTAGTATCCATATAGGTGATCAAACCATGCTTATTGCATAAAGTGGTCTTGAAAATAGGAATGGCAACGGGGTGGGTTCAGGGCAGGGATTACATTCCCCATCCCCGACCCCGACCCTCAAATCACCCCCCATGCCCGTCCCCGATCCCTGGTGGGGAAAATTGCCACCCCTACTTGAAAACTAGATGCAAATATGGTTTGACCAACCAAAATGGACAGAATGGCCGAGGATAAAAAACATATGTGATGTAGGCGCTTATGGAAGGCTAATGGCACTCCGGCGTGTGGTAGAGGGTATGCGGACCCAATAGGGGCGTCACCCAGAGCAGAAGTCGGTGCACGATGTGGGCCCAATGGCACGACCAAACATGGCAACCTCGGATGGTCGTGCGGCAAGGTCGGATTGCATCCTGGTCGTCCACACCCACCTACTCCCAAGCGGTCTCAAGTATAAATAGGGGGTGACCCTCCACAGGTGAGGGACCTAGACTCTTCGTTCTTAAGAATTCACTTATTCTCATCATGACCTCATCGAAGCTATCCCAGTTCAAGCCTCGTCTACCTCTCATCACACCCTCACTAACTTGATTGTCGGAGTCCCCACCTCGGATTAGCACCTAGGGCCTTTGATGTCTTCTCTCTCTTCATAAGACTGACCTACAGGCCCTCAACCACAATGGACCTTTGACTCACTATTGGCCCTCGGCTCGAGAGCGAATTTACCTTGTTGCCCTCAGCCCATCCAAGGCAAAAACAATATTATATATGTCTAATATGATAAGAAAGAATGTAACATGCAAGAAGAAAAGAAAATCAAAGATTCTACTACCTTTGACATCTAGAAAATATATATAGGCAGCCACAAACGTTACTCATCCTCAAAATTGTCATCCAAAACAGCCAAACAAGTATGGAGTTCCACTTCATTTTCCATGAGGATGCTCATCAGGTCACAAGTTACACTAGGTCATTTTTTGAGTGACAAGATTTGTGTTGAACATTAGAAACAATATGCTTGTCCCAATATTGAGAGAGGAAAGGACAACAAACCCATAAATCCTGGAAATAGTAAGCCCCAAGAAAGTTGGATCCATAAGAAATCCAAACACAACTCGATCAAATAAGGTGGTGGTTTGCAAAGTGTTAACCAATTGCAACGTCTAACTTGACAAGGAAGCATGATAAATTTTATGACATAGTCAAGAAGACTATTTAAACTTCAAAACCATATATATTTTTTTTAAATCCTCTTTTCAAGTTTAGAGGTTTATGTCACTCAAGTGGTCTTGAAGAATCTTCTTTTCCTTTAACAGATTAATTTACACAAAAACTCAATCTAATGCTAAAAAGTGAAATAGAAATTATATCAAAATTGTAGTTCTATACCTCTCTCCCTATGTAGTGCTTGACCAACATTTCATCCCAGTCAATCTCATCATATCGAAACATATAATAGAGTGAAGAATAAGCTCCTTTACTTATTAATTTAGAAAAGGGCCGGTCGAGACCTATTACCCAACCAAAAATTCAACATGTCCATACGTAAACATAAAAAATTAATGTTGACAAGTAAATCCAATTGTCATAAACATCCCAACAA